GTAATGGGGGCGGTGAGGTGAATTGTTGGGAGGAGGCCTATAAGGCCATACATGGGGGGCGGGGGGGCTCTCTCTTACCTACGATGATGAGGGTGGCCCAGAAGGCCACAGTGACCCCGGAGTAGATTAGCAGATGTCCGTTCATGGTGGCTCTCCGTTCTGTCTCTGACGCCTCACTGATTCGGGAAGAGCGAAGCTGCCTGACACCGGGCGAGATCAGCTGACACCCCCTCTCCAATCACCTGACCGCGCCCCCACGTGACCACCCCTCGTTTGACCCTCCCACCTGCCGTAGTGTTGCTTGTCCGTCACACCTCCGTCCTGCGTCTAGATACGTGAGCACGTTGCAGTGCCCTCGCCGCCATCATTACTGCTGGCAACCCACCTTATGTTTCCAGTACTTATCTATATAGTACAATGTCGCCGGTGACACCATTTCATCTGTGTGACATGTTTTTCTTGTGACATTTATAATTCTCTGGTTTGTTTGCAGCACCAACATAGACAGGGAAGATATGAATGACCATCCTTCTCATTGCTCACACCCTCTATAACATAGCAGTTTTCGATATGCGGAAGAACTTTTATTTATAAATGTTAAAAATGTCTTCACTGTAAGTGAGTGTTTCTGCACCGTACTTCAGTAATACATTGTAACTCCACATGTGGCGGCTGCACTACATTCCTTGTCTCATCTGTTTTTCATCTTTGTATCTTCCAGATAACTCGCTTCCTGTCACTGGGTGGCTACGCTCACTCCTCCACTGTATCTATGGAGAGCGCCATGGCTGGATCCAGGCTGGACTTTAACCCTTTTGCTGCCTGAGGCATTTTTACATTTTCTTTACACACATCTTATAATCCGCATTTTAGGCCTGAAAATTACTTAAAGGAGAACTATGGGTTTTCCCCATAGTTCTCCTCAGGGTAACGGGAGGACACAAACTAGCGTCCTTACCCTAGGCTCAGTATACCGCGAGCTACAGCTCCCTATATACTGAGACGCCGCAGCCGGAGCGGATCCCGACAGCGACGTCGAGATCCGCCCAGCTGCGTGAGTGACAGCTGGCTCTGCCTATCTAGAGGC